CCCGGCCACGCGCGCCCGCCCAATCGCAGCCCGCCTGGCACGCGCGGGGGGGGCCCGCTTCCCGCTGCTGCCCCGCGACGAGCAGGAAAACCAGCCTTTCTGGCGGCTTCTCCGCTGCTGGGGAGTCGCTGCCGGGCTCAGAGAAGGAAAACCAGCCTTTCAGGTGGCTTTTTTACTGGTGGGAAGTCACTGCCCGGTTAAAAAAAGGAAAATGATCCTTTTCCACTGATGGGAGGTCGCTGCCGGGTTAAGACAGGGAAAGTGAGCCTTTCTGGTGACTTTTTTTACTGATGGGAAGTCGCTGCCCAGTTAAAAGAAGGAAAATGAGCCTTTCTGGCAACTTTTCCACTGATGGGAAGTCACTGCCGGGTTAAAAGAAGGAAAATGAGCCTTTCTGGCGGCTTTTCCGCTGGTGCAAAGTTGCTGCCTGGGTAAGAGAAGGAAAATGAGCCTTTCTGGTGACTTTTTTTACTGGTGAGAAGTCACTGCCCGGTTAAAAAAAGGAAAATGATCCTTTTCCACAGATGGGAAGTCACTGTCCAGTTAAGAAAAGGAAAATGATCCTTTCTGGTGGCTTTTCCACTGGTGGGAAGTCGCTGCCTGGTTAAAAGAAGTCGAATGATCTTTTTCCACTGATGGGAAGTCGCTGCCCAGTTAAAGAGAAGGAAAATGATCCTTTCTGGTGTGGGAAAAAAGAGAAAAGGCACTGTGTTTGGGGAGAGTGGAAGGCATGATCCCACCTTCCTGGCTTCTCTGTTGTCCCCTGATCGTTTGCTGCCCTCTACCACTTTTTCTTTTAAGTTCACACAGGTGCTTCGCACACGCTGTGGCCTGGGCATTAGGCACGGCTCTGTGCTCTTTTACAAGAAAAAAATGATCCTGGGAGAAAGTGCTGGTGGTTACAACATTGAAACACAAACCCAGGCTACGCAGCATGGGAAGGGCCTCTCAGGATGCATCGGGCATAATTAAAGGTCCAAGTTCCTAATTTTCTCCATTCCTAAGAGGGCCTCTGGTCACATTTAAATGCCACAAAATCCCTAAAAGTAAATGTGCCCGGAACAACAAACAGGCTCAGCTCCTTTTCAAGCTGCCTTCCCTCTTTCCCATGTCACTGACCACCCTGCACCAAACGCACTGGGCAGAAATGTAAATAGTGTGAGGAATAGTTAAGCCATTCTGCTTTAGAGCTCATCCTGATAGAAAGCCGTGTCTGCTTTGCATGAGTGGCTGGTTTCCTCTTAATATTTTTTGGGTAGGAGAGAAATGGGGGATGGAGAATCCGACAACAGGTTTATGGAAGTTTCTACTGCTTGATAACTGGTTTGCATCAGATATCAGCCGTAACCATTGCAATAGTCTTTAAAGTAAATTGGTGATCTCCATGCAATTTTTCATGGAAAGACACGTCACAAAAAGTTATAATTGTCATTAACACCCCTGGAGGTCTCATTTTGCAGATTGCAGGCAGCAATCAAAGATCGTCTGACAAGGGATTAGACCTTTTTTCTTGGCAGTCTCAGGACAGATGCAAAGGAGTGAATGGAAGTGGAGCCAAATTTATTCTTTCACCCTTAGGAAGAGTACTTTCCTACTGGGACTGGTGCCTGCTGCTAAAGCAGCAGAGGGAACGACCACCTCTAATCCCTGGCAGGCTAGGCCTCTCTTGATCTGCTATCTGAACTGGTACAGCCTGTTTCGTGGTTGGGTTGCGGGGAATAAATCGGCACCCCTACCTGGGCTTGCCTGGGTGCGGAGGGTGTTTGGACGCCCAGCAGGACTCAAAATAAGACCTGTCAAAGGGTAGATGAGCTCCCTGCGAGCCAACGGCTGTCCTTATGTGGAGAGGAGATAGGTGCCACCACGTCACTCTGCCCGAAGAATCACCAATGATCTGACCTGACCCACTTCTAATATAGGGCATGTATATACGTATTATAGGTGCAAACGTGTACAAATGCCCGTAGTGTTTTGTCTTCCCATCTTAGCTGTTACCTGCTCTTTGAAAGGCAGAGGTTCTTCCTGTGTGTAATTATGGGACTGGTAGAGCCTGCATAACTGGCATGAATTATGACATAAAAAGGTATTATTAATTCAAAGTATATATAATAGACCAAATTCATCCCTAATGTTGACTTTAATGGAACTACCCTGAGCTTGTATTTAATGCATTATATATAGAAAACCAAATGGTACCTAATGCAAAACCCACACTGAGCTGTAGATTTTACTTCCACATAGTGACACCAGGGATGATTGAATGGAGGCCCGAAAGTGGATTTAAAAACTTTGAATCTGAAGGTATGCAAAACACCCGTTTTATGCACCTACGTGTCAGTCTGAAGGGCTCAAACAAAAAATGTGGTTGCACGCCCAGTGTTTGGGATCTGAATTCACAAGTCACAGGTATCGAATAATGTAGACTCATCACTGTATCTGATCTGTATTAATGCATACATTCATATAGTTACAAATGCACCATTTTGTTTCATGACCCACCAAATGGGAATTTGAGGTAAAAGTAGACTTTTATGTATTAGTTGGCTTGTATCCAGCCAAAGGGCTGTACTTGACTATGTTTTGGGATGTGTTTGGAGGAGGACAAATGTTCTTTGAAGCCAACATCAATTTTGTAGCACAAATAGGGCAACTGCTTGCCTGGGGCTACAAGATATGGGGCTGTAAAATGTCCAGTACTAGTTTGTGCATTGGTAATGTGCCTGATCTATTATTATTATCATAACTGTCACTGTTATTATCATTATGGAATTTGATTAATATCATCAGTGTTGTGGAAAGAGGCAATCAGTGCTGTTTTATCCTGTTTCGTTGGCGGTGTAACATGCTGCTGAGTGTATTTATAATATAAAAGAAGAAAACAAGAAAAGATGCAATGATCGTCCAGAGAAGACTGAACTGTGGAGGAGGATTTAAAATTACTGCTGAAAAACAAGTTTACTTCAGAGTTAGGCCTTAGGGCCGATTACCAAAAGAGTCATGCTTGCAGCCTGACTGCTGTATTTCACTTCCACGTGGAACTGGGAATCCTTCAAAACTACAACTCCCAGATCCCCCTGCAAATCCCAGCATGACCTAATTGTAACAGTGGCTTGGGAAATAAACAAAAATAAAATGTGGGGCTTGTAGACTCAGTGGTTGCATTTATTAGAACTTGTTATTATAGCAAGGGCTCGAACAATTTTTTTTCCCCAGACAGACAAAGAGCAAGTATTTCTAGGGTTTAAACAAACATTTTTAAATATGAATAAGGAGAAAAGTAAAATCAAAATCAAATTAAAAGGAAGGCTAGGTTGAGATTAGCATTGCCACTACTGATATTCTGAGAAGTCTAAAGAAATGAGCTAAAGGAGAGCCACAGAATCTCAAGTTTGATCCAAATGTCATAGTTTCTATATAGTTCATTGGTGTTTGGACCCAAAGTTTTATCCAAATCAGAACAAGTTGATGACCTGCCACAGTATTTAAAAAGAAAGAGTCAAAGCATCATCTTGCTGGGATCCTTTGACCCCAGCTGACTTCCTGCCCCTGGGGCGGGGGGCTGGACTTGATGATCTTCTGAGGTCCCTTCCAGCTCGAATGCCTATGAAATCTCTAAGGGAGGTTTTAGGCTCATGGGCAGTGGGAAAAAGGAAGGAAAATCCAGCAGCTGGAGATGAGTTTAAGAGGCATAATGAACAGAACACCACTCTTATGAGAAAGGAAGAGAACAAAATATGAATATAAAAGGATTTAAATTATGCACTGTAATGACACAAACCAGTCCATGAATTAAAATACTCTTTGCTTTTCTATTGTATTAGGATTAAAAATGTATGTATGGTATTCAACCTGAGTACATCTTTTCTGTGGTTGTTACATATTTGGGGTCAGGAAAAAATTCTACCCCAGGGTCAGATTGGTATGGACTATGGGGGGGGGTTTCCATTCTCCGTAGTGGAGGGTGGCCCTTGTCTGGGTGTCTCTCGAGCATGTATTAACAAACTTTTGCAGAAGCAGGACGTTGGCTGCTGTGGTCCCCCTCTTTACCAAGGCAGGTTCGGGGGGTGATGCCTTGTGTTGTGTCAGTTGACTGTAGTTTTGCTAAGACATTGGATTTGTACGGCATGGTTTGCACGGGGCTGATCCTGCCTCAGGCAGGGGTTGGACTAGATGTGATCTCTGGAGGTCCCTTCCAGCCCCACTTCTCCAGGAGTCTAGGAGTGTGCAGTGAGCACACAGGAGTTGTTTGGGCGCTGGGCACACGCTTGTGAAAGTCAGATGCTGACACCTACCGCCCATTTAGCGAATGGCACCTTTTGCTGCACATGAAATATTACAGGCAATTCACATTGGTGACCTCTGTGAATTTTCAGACTTTACAAATTAACCTGACACCCACCACATCCTTGTCATTAAGGGAAGGGATGTACAAGATTATAAAGTAATAAAAATGGAGACGAACCAAAGGGCAAGGAGCAGAATAACTTCCTTCCCTGTTATTGCACTGGCAGGACATTGAGTGCCCTCATCTCCCTTGCTTTCAT